CCGGGGGGGGGGGGGGGGGGGCGGCAGAGAGAAAAAAGTAGTCAGTTATGCAAGCTGTTGTTGAAGCCGAGTACTTAAATTTAAAATGGGACTATGTTTATCTTTTCCAGAGAAAAGACGTTCTAGAGAAATCCTTCAGAAATCTGTCCCATCTCCTGAGCAGAAGGAGAGGTCTGGAAGCTAAGCAATTGGTGGGATAAGTTATGTTAACAGGACTGTAGTGTTTCTGTGAAATACTGGAGCACTTCCTCTAGAAAGCAGAAATTGCATGGTTCAGCATCCTTCAGTCTAATATTCAAGTACCATAGTTCTGTGTGAATAAACAAGAGGCAGAAGGCATTTAAGCATTAGTAAGAAGAGGACAACCACCAAAACACAAATGTCTACTGTGCATGAGATTGTTGCAGCATCAGACATTACAAATTTAAGCTAAACCGGCGTTCAGATAACTTGCCTTTATTATTTTACAACATAATGTTTGGAGCTTGAATAAAGCAACCGAAAATCTTTATGAAGGAGAAGAAATAGCATATGCTAGGCATTACCAAGATTTCTTAAGAATTGTTTGACTCAGGTGTAAAATAAATAAATAAATAAAAGAATAATCAGAGGTTTCAACTTGTTCTGTAAAGACAGATTAGGGACAGGGAAGGGGGCAGCAAGAAGAGAAAAGTGAGAAAGGGTACAAGAAATTGTTTTAAATTAAAGCCATTGAAAGTTACAAAATCAAAGGTGATTCACCACAGGACCGAGAGGCACCAGGAGATATACAAAACAGATGCTAAGTGTCACTAGAGAAGTTAAAAAACATTTCTTGAGCACTTACAAGGAGGGGAAGGAAAAAAAAAAGAAAAAAAGACTTTCATATGAGTCCTCAAAACAGAGAACATCTGCTGTCATCTCATAAATCCAAAGGCTTCCTTTGATATTAAAAATAATTTTTGACACTATCTCTTGCATCTAACACCAAATATTTCAATATTAGATCTGATAAAGTTCGCAGAACATCTTTAGATTTGCAAAATAAACACTCTGTCTAGGGAAATGGGACTGCACAGTTTTGACAACCTCTACTCAGGTACAGTCTTGGTGGACCAAAGAAATGTTAATATGGACATAACAACTGGCAGCTATCTAAGTAATGGTGATTGTGATCTGATAATTATTCTGTGAAAACACTGTGTCGCTAAGCCAGTGTTATTTGTACTTGAAATTTTAAAAGGGTCAGTTTCCCCAAATACAATAATTGCAAGTGACTAGAAAAAAATAAACATTTAAAATGAGAAGTGTAAGCTAGGAATTATCATTTAATGACATCCCAAATTAATATCCAAAAAAGAAAGCACAATATAAAGAAGAAAGGTGAAAAAATAGTAAGGGTTAATAGTTACAAGAAAAACACACGTAACTTAAGAGAAACTCAGGGAGTCAATAAAATATCAATTGATAGTAGCATTAAGAACTGCAAGATTTCAGACCTGTATAAACACATACTCGATCGTGAGCAGATCCACCATTGGATACTGCTGGTGAAAGTAAAAGCAGCAATGCAAAAATGCAGAAATATTCCGCAGATCCTTTTGATCTGTACCTGGAACAAAACAATGACTGCATTTAATTTCATATAATAGTAAGGAAGGAACAAAAATGTTGATGTATTTAATCAAGGAAGCCCTACAGCAGCAATTCCTATAATTAAAACTTTTTTCAGTCAAATGCCCGTTTCACATAGTTGTCTTAAATTAGTCGAAGAGTAACCTGCTTTTGATCTGTGACACAATAATGCACCAGTAAATCTGGGACTCAATCAACAGCTCAGTCAACAGCTTTAGTGACTAGTATCTCAATGCTAGCCATGCATAACTTCAGAAAAGGGAGTCAAGCTAACAAACTTCTTGTCCCAAGTACATTACAAAGGTACCTTCACCAATACAGTGCATTTGAAGTTATCTGAAAGAAATTCACTCAGTACAACATGGCACCTTAATTAAAAAAAAAAAATCAGTGTTGTAAGAAGCTATTAGGGGGACAGTTTAAACAGATTAAAAACTCACACAGGAACAGATCTCAAAATGCATCAAACAGGAAAACATAAATAAGCATGTCAGAACCTTGCATTGTACCTCAAAACCAAGTCCTCATTCACCACCATATAATAATTTTATCAATTATCTGGATAATTAAATGACTTTGTCCATATAATTTACAAAGGATATGTAACTCAGTGCTTCAATGCCCAGTAAGTCTATAGGCAATGAAGTCTTTGAGTCACCATTAGGCATTTTGTTACAAGGCTTAGCGTAAAGAGGTCCTGGCAGAAATTCTACAGCCTCTGTGTACCAGCATTCAAACTAACTTCTCTGGCCTTTTATTACAGATTCAAGAAATCCATAGCTCTAATAGCCACTATCAAGTTTCATCAGAACTACCAATCTCATGCCCCAGGCAATCTAAAAGCACAAAATAGAAGACCCTTCACAGGCACTGGACTACTTCACACCTTTCTGCAACTTCCCCTAGAACTTCTGTTGCAGGCTTGTCAGCCCAGACCAAACTGAACCAATAGGATATGCTGCTTTCCTCTTGAGAATGGCTTCTAACTGTGCCCTCCACCAGATGCTTAAGATACAAATCATGATACAAAACTGAAGACAACCTTGTTTCTCAGCTTGGATCCAGGAAAGCAAGAACAGGAGAGTTAGTATTGCCCTGCTCATTGCTGGATTTTTTCATATTCTTTTCCCCCCTCTTTTCTCCTTAAGGGACTGTGGAAACAGAGCAAATGTTAAGAATCTGAGGCCTACTATCAGCAAAACCAGTCATATCCTAACTGGAACTAGCAACTTTCCACCTAGCCCTTTGATGAACTCACACATACCGCTCATATCCAAATAAACATGAGGGACCAGTGAACTGCATGGCTAGACCTCTGTATCAAGTTGGAGTAGTGCTACTTGAGAAATTTTTCCTAAAATGCCGCAGCACCTGTATGCTGCATGAATAACATAATTCCAGGTAGCAGAACATAATGTACATCAGGTCTTTCCCTCCCCCACATTCCTTAAAACATGCCATGGCTCTATGTCTTGTTATGGGGCTGACCCAAACAGTGTGCCTAGCAGCTACTTCCAGCTCAGCAAACCATACCCCCAGGTAACTCAGGTCAACTCTGTTTCTTCATCCCTGAACACACAGTGGACACGCCCCTCTGCATTGTAATACACCTGCCCGCAGCGCAGCCGTGGTTCTTCCTGCTGGTACCAGAGCTGTTCATTGAACTCTGGGAAGAAAAAGGCAATTTCTCTGCTGGCTGATGCTGGTGAATCTGTTAGAAAACAGAGGAAAAGAAGATGAGAGATGCCAATTTGGCACCGCAAATATGTGCTATGTTCCAAAGAGAAGGGCAGAAGCTGTAAACAAAAGCGCCAGGCTCGGTTACACCAGGACAGGTATGAGTGGAATCTGCAGAAGTGAGCAAATTATTAACTTTGACTCCCAGAATGGAAAGCAAGCAAAGGCAGACAAAATACCATCATTCACACCTCCCTGAGCTCCAGTCTTTGCCCAACACTCAGCCAAGAAGGACCGGTCTACCTGAGCCATGAGTGGTATTCCTGGTGTCAGTGAGGCCATAAGCTCCTCGGATGGAGTCCGGGACACTGTTTCGGGCTCGGAATACTTTGGTGGGTCCCATCAGGGATCTCCAGAGGGGGACAGCATTCTCATGGGCCAAGATATAAGCCCACATGGGGCCACTGAGAAGAGGACCAGGGAAGAATAGAAGTAGGTAAGATTACAAAAGATCATAGCTCCTTCACTCTTATAAATACAGCAAGTGCAAAGAAGGACGGCAGTGCAACTGCCATGCAGTGCTTTCTAGGAGGGGATACAGACCTACCATGACACTAGACACTGAGACCATGGCTCAGAAGCAAAGCATTTGCATGAATGACCTCCTCCTAGGTAATGGAACCCACAACCTGTGGGGATGCTACCCCACCAAGTACTACTCACAGCAGAGTTGGTTCCCGACATTTCTCCACCCCCAAGCCCAGAGCCTTCCCCCTCGGTACACCACAAGCACCAACTCCTGATGAGACACATCCCACGCCGAGGTGGACCCCTCCAGATGCAGAAGCACTGCTCAAGCAAGACAAGGGTTCACGTGCAAAGCGAAGCAAGCTTCCTCTTCGCGCCCCACGTAGCCCGGCTGCGGGCACTGCAGGTACCTGGCCATGAACTCCCCCAGCCGCTGGTAGAAGAACCGCCCTGCGGGAGAAAGACGGCCCGAGTCACACAACCCAGCTCCGCCGACACCGGCACTGTCCGGCGGCCAAGCTCGTCCGCCCGCAGCGCCTGGCCGCGTGTTCCTGGTGGCAGCGGCGGCCTCGCCTACCCGGGA